AAACCAAGAGAAGTTTTGATGCCTCAAATCACACCAGGCAACACTGATTTCATCTCCTTGCTTCCCTCGCATTTATCATGGAAGGTTACCTACACGGTGCCACTATACCACTTGAATCAAGAGAAGCTTAGCGAATTCTACCATGCCCAGATTCATATAGCATGCTCTTTGCACAATGACGTCATCCTAGGAGGTGTTGATAGGCAGTCATGTTCTACTAGTCTTAAATGTACTCCTCTACTTTGGCTACTTGAGTGTGACATTCAAGAGCCTTTCAATGTCATTGTACTAGTAATTATTTCCTTAGTAATTTTCTTCAGATTAGTGTGCTTTTTAAGGCATTCAGTGTAAATTCTAGTTTTGTGCATAGCTAGTTTTCTTTTGAAATACAAATGAAAATAAGTAGATAACTCAGAATATAAAGACCCATCTTTGAATCACATGAAAATGCCCAATTGCTGCTGTTGCTGCTTGAGAGACACCATTTGTGGTCACTATCTGAAGTGCCTGCTGCCCTGTTTCTCTTTAGCTAATCGTTTAGTCCCTGTGCCTCTCCTTGGAGCACATTTCAAATTGCACCTAAAGGTAAGTGCATATGAAGATTTAATAAAGAATGGCTTGATGCCTGAGGAGTCACTTCAGGATTCGGTGCTCTTGCAGTCTCCTTGACTTATTAGTGAGACAGACGTGCGTGTTCCTCCTCGCTTTCCCACCTTGAAGAACCACATGTCAAGACATTCTCATGGTGGGTCCACATGTAGCTTGTGCCATTAGCCTGGGAATGGAGCTTCGAGTATGAGGCTGCAGCAAACTCTCCTTTACTCCTGCCCCAGTGTCAAAAGTCAGGGCCAGGAAAACACTGTGTGCTGGGAGGCTCATTTACAGAAAGGGCTCACCTTCCTGCCATGATTGCTGGGTCTTTAGCCTGCACGCATACCCATTTGTGTACACAAGCGTACAACTCAGCCTCCACAATTCTTTTCTCATCATGTTGCAGGTTCTTCATGTCCTAATATTAAATGTTTGTACTTTGCCTAATGTCTTTCCTATTTTATAACCTCAATGTTTTATCCATTCTTAGTATGGATGTACCTTCATATAAACAAGTTTATCTTCCACGTGAATGCATTTCAAGCACAGAGACAATGAGAGGCAAGGAGATTATAGATAGAGGAAAAGAACAGAAGCATTGGCCGACTTTGGAAGAGTAAACTTCCAGACAGGCTACACTCTACCCATTACTGCTAGGCCATGGGGCAACCATGGAACCAAGGGACTGAAGCAGTGTTAGTCGCCAGTAAAGTATCCCGTGTGATCAAAATAAAGACTCTCTAGGAACCTTGGTTTGCATAGCTGGTTTCCAGCAACAGCTACTAGTAACTGGGTCACCTCTGGATGACTAACCATGGAAATCGTACAGCCCTATCATGCAACCGGGTTTGATTCTGTTCCTTGAAGTGACAACTTCCAGCTGAGTCTCTTGGGTAGAAAGTCAACAGGCTATGCTGTTGACTGGTGAGGGTGTTTGAGCCACTGGGGGTGTATTTACAGACACACTGCTGGAGACTGTAAATAACATCAGAGTCAAAGCGGTGATGGTGAATTTTCCGTTATTCCCTGATATATTCTGTTCTTGGCATTAAAACTGCAACTCTTTTAGAAGTATGTGAGCTATGGTTACGGAATCTCGCTGGTCAAAGAACGCAGCTATTAGAAATAAGACCCGCAGGCAATATTTCCATGCAAGAAGTCTCGCAGTGACTGATAGCAATACTAAATAACGGGCAAAAATTAAAGCCTGTCTTTGATTCCGGGAACTTTTTTGCATCTTTTGCTCCCCATCTTGGAATCCTGTTCTTTGTTTGCTGTTGTTTCCTTTTTCTTTGCGTTTATTCTCTTCTTCTGGCTTATCTTTCTCACCCCTCTTTCTTCTCATGTCTGTTAATAAAGCACATGGAGGACTCTGGCGGATCCCATGGCAAGCAAGGGTGACCGAGGCGGAAGGACAAACATGCCAGGGAGACAGAGCTTAAGTGAAAAGTTTTATCAGAAAGGGAAGGGGGGGGGGGAGAGGTAAAGAGACACAGAGACAGGGGACAGAAGAGAAGAGGGAGACAGGAAAAGTCCTATCTGCCCCAGGAGAAACAGCAGAAAAGAGAGCAAGACAGAGCGGAAGTGGGCAGGGTCTTTCTTTGCACCTGTGTGCTGACCAGAGTACTGCCTGAGTGCATTCTGCCAGGTGACAGAGGCAGGCCAGTATAATGCCTGAATCCTTACAATGTCACTATGAGGAACTGGTTCCAAAGTCCAAGCTTCCTTCTCTATGGTGGTTGCAGGTGCCAAGCCCATCTTTCTTTGGGGGGGCTTTTTCGTGCTCTTTTCCTCTTCCTCCTCTCTAAGTCACAATCTCTATTTTTCAGCACAGTTTGGGATGGTGAGGAAGAAAGAATGTGTTTAGTTGGTCTCCTGCTTTCTCAAGGTGTATACTCATAAAGCCAAAAAGTACATGGAAGATTCCAGCACATCTTCACTTATTAGGCACTGTTATGCCATGTAGATTTCAGAATTCCTTACTGCATGGGACAATATATATATAATAGTGAAGTAGCTTTCTCCTGAGTTCTAGAAAGACAGGACTGTAGCAGGACAAATGTAAACCACTTCCCTTAGTCTGCAGTCCTTCCTACCACTGTAGAGCAGGCTTTGATTTACATGAAATAATTGGTTCCCAAGCAGAAATTAACCTGTTAGAATGCATGCAGAAGCCTACTATGTACAATGTTTCTTGGGGTAGAAGTCAATGACACCCATTAGATTTGATCAGCTTTGTTTTATAAGTGCCACTTTCTGTTTCATTCCAACTTGATTTAGACCTTGGTGGCCAGGAATTGGTGCTGTGGGCTAGACAAGGGTGGTTTAAGGGCTCTGTCAAGTCATTACAGAACGCCCCAGAGTCAGAAACACTGATACAGACAGCTCAGATTGTAATACAAAGTGTGAGTTTTGTAAGACAAGTAAACAGTTCTTCCTGGCTTTGTTCTGTGAAAATATGGATTTGCAACCAGCTGGAATTGTGATTTGCTAGTTTAGTGCACCTGTTATTAGAGCTGTGTCATCTCAGGGCCTGTCACAGTGAAGACCCCCCACACAACACACACACACACACACACACACACACACACACACACACACACACACCTTCATACAGGTGACTTCAGTAGGCAGCTGTGGACAAATCATAGCTCTCTCTGAGGATGTGCTGAAGTGAAACCTCCATGGGTCTTTTCCTTTACATTTTTTTCTTTCCATTTGTTTTTGAGTGTGTGTGTGTGTGTGTGTGTGTGTGTGTGTGTGTGTGTGCGTGTCAGAGGAGGAGAACTTTTGGGAACCAGTTCCCTCTTGTTGTATAGGTTCTTGGGAATCAAACTCACATCCTCAGTCTTGGTGACAGCACCTTTATCCCAGCCTTGTCCCCATCCCCTCTCTGGTTCTTTTCTGAGCATGAACCTTGGTGGGCATAGCTCTTTGAGGAGTTTTCTGTTGGCTTTGTTCTAGTCCTCTTGTCTGCTCTTGGCAGCTGATACTCTGTAAAGATGTGCTGTGACAAAGGCATAGTGGGGTGCAGGAACACTGAGTCGGAAGGTCTTACCTGCTTCGGGGTATAAGATCACAGTTGGGGTCCCATCGTGGGCAGCAGAGGAGCCAGTGGCACCCTGTCTCTCAAGGTCTTAAACCCTCTTCACCATTGGAAGAAACCTAAGCCTGAGCACTTGAAAGGAACCCCATGTTACGTAGAGCTGGAAGTATGTCTGTCAAATGAGTATTTTGAGCTAAGTCCAGCTCTATATCCACATGTTCCCAGTTATACTAGGGGAAGGACTGTGTGTCACAGTTGGAGAATACAGGCTTCTCTGTATTCTGAGAAAGTTGCTCTAAAAATAAAATCTCTGGAAGGCCCAACAGAAAAACAGGAACAGAGAGGAATTTTCAGGATTATGGAAGTTCTTCCTTAAAATGTTTAGTTGCAGGTTCTCAGTTCTCCCCTTCACCTGACCTACAGGACGGAGATGGTGTGGGTGGCTTGGGGAACAGAAAGGGCATGCCATAAATCTGAGCTAATTTGAAAAGGGAAGGATGAGGCAGATATGCAGTAATCAATAGAGCAAAACCTTGTTCTGTGGGCAATGTTTACTGGCCCTGCTGCTGGAATGTGATCCTGCCGCGCCTAACCCTGAGCCACTAGAGGTGACATGAGTTCACAGAATGCCCTCCCTCGTGCCTGGTGTGCATGGCTCCTCGAGGCGCAGACTCCTTAGTTTTCCGCTAGAGAAAACAGCTGTGGATGAGCCTCCACATTTTCACTTTTTTATTCCTCTGCGTTTTTCCATAAAAGAGGAAAATGACCAATCGCCCCTCCCCCCTCCTCCCTGCTGCCACGTTTGCAGGACGGAATGTACGAATTCGAAACATTTCCTCCTGAAAAATCCTGTCGGGAGAACAAATAGGGAAAGCAAAGCCACAATGAGAACAGGGACTCAATTGTTCCTCCACTGACTCAGCCATCCTGATGCCTTCCTTACCCTGCCACTGTTGGGGGTGGGGGTTGGGTTGGGGGGAGACGACGACGACCAGGCAGAGCATGCTTCCTGGCCCTGGAAAGGAAATAGCATAAAAATGCTTTGACTGAAAAGTGAGTGCACTAATTGATTGTTAATGACTGTGCAGCCCTAAATGTCTGGAATTTGGTTTAGATTCAATGTAATTTGACATTTGCCAACCATTATTAAATCCCTTTGATGCTGTCCCTGTGCAGCCGTGATGAGCAGCTGATTGGCTCTGGGGGATGGAAATGCAACCGGCTGGGCAGGGAGTCAATGGGTGTCTGGAAGTCAGCCATCGCCCCCCCCACCCCGTGAGTGGCCTTCCCCACACCCTGTCATCTCTGCTTCCCTTACTGGTCTGCAGCCATTTTTGTTTTCCTTTATTCTCAAAGGGGCATCTTTCCCAGTACCTGTTCGCCCGTGAAGTAGAAGCCAGTCTTCCCTTTCTAAGACACATACTTCCGTTGTATCAAGGGTTAGTACAAAGGGGCCAGGATGGCGGTGCAGGAAATCTACTGTGGGAAAAATAGTACCTGTGGGAATCTGAGGGTTTTCTCTTTCCCTTTTCCTTCCCCCTCATTCTCCTCCCTCTTTCCTCCCTCCTTCCCACACTTTATTTCTATTTGTCACAATACCCTTGGTTCTTCAACTGTTGCACCTGGTGCAATGTAGCTTCCATAACATTCCCAAAAACTCTTTTGTTTCTTTCCCTGTGTGGCCTGTCACCTGCCTCTCCCACAGAACTGTCAGTCTCTGGGTCCACCATTCCAGTTTCCCAGGAGAAAGACTTTGGTTCAGGTCTAAGATTCATCACTGGCAAGGTACATGTGTTTATCATTCTAGAGCTTAGGTAAGCCGTAGGTAGGTGAGGAACAAAGGATATGGTACCCAGAGAGACTTCTGCAGGGCTGGGCATAAGGCCTGCTCTTTCATCTTGAAATAAACTCTCCGAATAGCCCATCCAGTCTTGAAAATTGAGCTGTGTATGTTGGTAGTTCGTGATGAACTCCTACCTTCTGTGATGGCGCCCACTCACCTTAGCAGACAGGCTGGTTCCTCCTCATTCACAACTGTTAGCATTCATTTATGAAAGGTTCTAGAGGAAAACAGAAGAATTCTTCAGAGCAGCCAAGAGCTGAGCACAACAGTGAGAGAAAACTCTTAATTCCAACCAGAACAAAGCTTCGTGTCATTCTTACCGTGTGTGAGACAGCCAGGCAGAAGAAAGAGTGAAGGCTCTCCACTCGTTTTCCTAGCTCTCTGACTGTGCCTCCGGCAAGCTGTGTGTCCTGAGGCCATTGCTCAGCCTTTCTGGGCCTTGTTCTTCCAGCTATACTGCAGTTGCTGCAAGTTGAGAGGGAGATACTGGGCCATTTCCTCTCCTGCACCAGATCTTTTTAACTGCACGTTCTCGTGCAGTTTCTAATTACTTCCAAAAATATTTCAAGATTAATTTTACAAGCGAGCCTTGAGAACACGCTAATTACGAATTATCTAACACCTGTACCATTCCAGACTCTCGGCTCTTTCAAGATGTTTGTTTGCAAGACTCACCTGAGTCCATGCAAGTGAGTGACAGTGCGTCCTGGCACACATGATGGGGTCTAGGGTCATACTCATTAGCATCGTAAACAGAAATTTTAATCTGTGTGCAGTCCTGTCACAGTCTCTTTGCCTGCTCATCTGGATCTCCAAACTCAGTGTCTCCCCCAACTCTTCACTGAGTCTACTTAGTAGCTGGTTCCTTCACACCTGAGGAAGGTTTGTCCCACCCTTTCTCCAGTGACTCAATCCATGAAAAACTAACCAATGTGTTCTCAGAAAAGGGAATCTGACTGGGAATGTTTGTCATTTTCTTAGCTAAGAGGTTTTTTTGGTTGTTGTTTTTGTTTTGTTTTCAATGTTGAACCTCTGATTTCCTACAATTCTTAGACAGCACTGGGAGGAAGAAGGCAAGGAAACATGTCCCCCTAGAGGGGCTATGGTTGAGTCTGCTCCTTTCTACTTGGAGTTCCCTTCAGGGCTGCAGCAAGCTGGGTGCCCTGCACCAGCTCCCTGACCTGTACTCCCCTTCCCCCTCCCCTTCCCCCTCCCCTCCCTCCTCCTCCACCACCACCACCACCACCACACACACACACACACACACACACACACACACACACACAGCATCCTTGATGGTGTATTTTTAGATGGTCTGAACAGAATCGTCCCTGCACATCTACCCCTCCCTGGCAGCATGACTTTCCTTTTACTTGCCTGTTCAATGGTCTGGATTTCCTTCCAAAAAAATGCACTGTTGTTTAAAAAAAAATGGTCCTGCCTTGAGAAGTGGCTTTCAAGGAGAAGGGGTAGAGATGGAAGATGAGGAAAAGGAAAGGCACGAAGGGTTCCAGAAGCATCCCCAAGCTTGGCTAAGAGGAGCTTCAGGTTTTAGTGTGTGTGTGTGTGTGTGTGTGTGTGTGTGTGTGTGTGTATGTATGTTTGTATGTATGTACGTGTGTGTGCCTCCCTTTTTATTGCCAAGACAGGGTTTCTCTGTGTAGCCCTGGCTGTCCTGGAACCGGCTCTATAGACCAGACTCCTCCTTCCTCTGCCTCCAAAACACTAGGATAAAGACATGCATCTTCACTGCCCTACAACTACCCTACCCTCTTTTTTAATCAGAGTCTCTCTCTCTCTCTCTCTCTCTCTCTCTCTCTCTCTCTCTCTCTCTCTCTCTCTCTCTTTCTCTCTCTCTCTCTCAATTTGGAGCTCACCTATGGGACTAAGCTGGCCGGCCAATGAGCTCCAGGAATCCTGGGGTCTTTGCTCCCACCCCTTCCACAGTCACAGATGCCCCTTCTTTCATTGGGTGCTGTAGATCTAGACTCAGGTCCTGCTTGCTCTTGCCAGGCTAACACTGTACCAACTGAACCATGATAGTGACTGTCACAAACTGATCAACTGTGGCAGTGCATTTACAACCATGACAGTACATCTGATTTCATTGTTTAATCATCTAGATTTTAAATAATAGCTCTCATGGCAGTGAAAAACAGCCATAATTGAAGCCCAACTCACTCACACCACCTCTTCTTTGTTTTTGAATAAGGATACTGAAGACCAGGGAGACTCAGTTACCTAGAACACAAATAGAAAATCTTCAGAAGAAAAACATTGTTATTCTAATAATTCTATTTCTCCTCAGAGTGATGTCCAGCCCGTATCAAACAAATTTAATCAGACTGTGAGAGGTTGTACAAAGATCTGTGTCACTTAACAGATGTCTATGTTTATAATTGAGTTATAATATTCCGGAAGTTTGCTCAAACGGTGTATTCTACTATATTTCTATTAAAGCAGGCAGCTTTATTTCACAAGCTAGCACACAATTACACCATTGTATTTGTTCTTTTACAAGAGGAGGCATTTTCATTTGGTGTTGTATGACACAGGAATTGGGATAAGGATTAATTAATCTACTAATTTAGCTAATGAGTATACAGTAAACTAAAGACTGTGCTAAAGATTGGGAATTCAAAGACACACAGGGCAATTTATATTAGTTAGAACTCTGTGTGTTTATATTTACTCATTTGCTTTTGGTGGTGACAGAAACTCAACATGAAGACGCCTTGCACAAAAGGGAGTTCATTATAAGTATCTAAACATATACATAATTCATTGTCGGAATATAGGAGTGGAGTGTGACTTCTAGAACCATTAGACTGGGAATTCAAGTGCACAGGGCCTTCTCCATTTCACAGTTCTCTTTCTAGAGACTTCCACTTCATATCAGAAAATGTGTCTGCCATGGCTCTGAAGTGCACCCTGTCAAAGTCAGAGACACTGACTTCTGATTCTTGGTGACAATACTGTAATTCTCATGGAAAGCCACTGCTGGCCTCTGTTTGGGTGAGGAGCCCACACTGTACCCATTGACTCTATGTCTATGGATGGCTTCCTTCTCTTCAGTCAGGGTCACACCTTCAGCCAATCAGCAGGAGCCAAGTGTGGTTTCACAAAGACACAGGACCACTATGACAGACCCTGCAACACCCACATGAGATCTGCATGAGTGTAGGTGGGAAGTGCCTGTTCCTGGAAAGGAGATTATGGAAAGATAACCCTGGGATCATGAGACCCTGTGTGTGTGTGTGTGTGTGTGTGTGTGTGTGTGTGTGTGTGTGTCTGTACATGTGTGTATAGAAGCTAAAATTCAACCTTAGGTAGTCTTTCTCAGGTGGTATCTACCTTGGTTTTCTGAGACAGGGACTCTCAGTGACCTGAGGATCACCTATGAAGGCCAGGCCAACTGGATACTATGCTACAGGGACCCACATATCTGTGTCTCCTCAGGACCAGGATCACACCCAGGTTTTTTTACATGAGCTCTGGGGCTATCGCAGTAAACCCTTTGCCAACTGAGCTAGCCCCCATACCTAGTGCTGTGATTTTTAACAAGAGCTTGATGGAGAAACTGCCTTGCCTAAGGAAAGGAACTGGGGAAGGTGTACAGAAAAAAGTGGGCTTCCTTCAAGTGAGCCATGAAATATGAAAATAAAATCAGGGAGGAAAAGATGTTCCAGGAAGTGGTAACAGCAAGAATGGAAGCTCAGAGGCATGGGAATCCAGCACAGAAACACAAAGAGAAGAAATCAAGAAGCAGAATAGAGGTCTGCACCCCTCTGTTCCTTTGACCTATTTTCTGTGGAGCAAAGGAAGTCCTGAGATAATGGACTACATCACATAGAATCCACTGTGATACCATGCTGGACACCGTTTAAGGTCTGTGGGATACCCCAACAGGCAGAGTTGACAGGGTCCCTGGACAATAACTGAGGAAAACAGCCTGTGAAAGTGTTAGTTAAAAGTCTGGTGCAGTACTACAAAAGAAACAGACAGACAATGCCCTTGACAGTGAATCTGAGGATGGTGAGAAGAGGCTCTCCAAGGCAGTGACATTTGAACTAAGACCTGAGGAGAATGAGGACCCACAGAGAAAGATGCTGTAGCTGGGGACACAAAGCAGGTCTCCAAGGCCCGAACATGGGAGAAAGAGGATACTAGATTGATGACAGATCAAAGGGGGCCAGTGGCTCCCTGTTAGCAAGGAGTCACACCATGCAGCAAGAAGGAGCTGCTGGGCCATGGGAACAACAACACCCCCATTCCTGTCTTTCAGTAAGCATCCATGTCCAACCAATTCCTTAGTTGAAAAGACTGAGCTATTCTTGCTTCCTCAGTTTCCCTCTCCTGTCCAATCAACCAGTGTCAAACCTAGAGTGTCTTGGTTTCTTTCTGCTTTCATCTGTGTTCCGCTCTCTTGTCTAGGCTGCAAATGCTGCCTTAGACGCTCTGAGCTGGTGCTCCACTCTCTTGTCTAGGTTGTGGATGCTGCCTTGGACGCTGCTGAGCCCATGCTCTACTCAGAGGGGCATCTAAGGCAGAAGCTGGGACTGAAGGTTATATAAGGCAACACATCAAGGGCACCGTCACAGCGCTTGGCTTTAAAGTGTTCTCCATACGTTTGATGAATATTTTTTTTTGTAATTCCATCTTACTGGTACATTTCAACATGACAAAGAGATCAAGGGATTTTGGACAGGAGACTTGAATTTTATGTCCTAGTTTGAAAGACATGTGGCCTTGGGCAAGCCCTAATTTCTCTCAGTTACCAATCCCTTCTCTGCGCATGAGGATGCTGGATACTTGTCATTTCATTCCTATTACACAAGGTTTCAAATAGATGTGAAAATGTTTTGCAAGCAGAAACAAATTTTTACATGAGCATTGATAACTTTATGAAATTGTATTTAGTTCCATTTCCTGTTGTGTGTGACCTCTCAGGTTCCTATACTATCAGACACCAGAAGGTAAAGTTTATTATAGAGCACTGGGGTCTATAGCTTTCAGGAGTTCCTGATTCTTAAACTTCAGCCTATATGATGTGCAGCCTAGTTGATCTTTCTGCTAATATGGAAACATGTAAGTGTCCTGTCCAAGTATGGAAGCCATTAGTCAGTGTACCATTGTGTGTTTGAAACGTGGCCACTGTAACTAAAAAACAATGCTTATTGTGGCTTTTGCTTTATTGTGTTTTTTGCTTTAATCGACTTAAATTTAAATTATTCATAGGTGCCTAGTGGTTGCTAAGTAACCAGTACACCATCCAAACCCACAGTATTAATGGGGTCCTGTTCTATAAGGCAAGGACCTCCCAGGGCCTTTCCAACTATGCTTCAGGGTACACAGTTCAGAAGCAAATAAGCCAATTCAAATACAGTGAGGACTGAATCCTTAGCCAGGTTTCTTGATTTTGAGCTGAATATAATTTTAGACTCTTTTGTAGGTTCATAATTGGTTTATGTATAAACAAGAGGAAAGACTTCAAAACAAGAGT